ACACGTCGATTAAGGAATTGGCCGTTTTCGGTTCGCGAGAGGGCGTCGCGGCCGTCAATTTTGCGGGTCCAGGTCCGTCGGTTTCGGTCCCAGGCCGTTTTCATTAAGGGGAGGTTTACTAAAGGGATGTTTGTCCACCGCCGAGGCAACGATCTCTAGGCCTCCCGGATGGGGTCGGAGCGGATGGGGTCCCACACTCCCTCGAGTCGTGAGGAAATCACGAGGGAAGGATTCTCGCCGTCTTCGGGCCTTGGGGGGTCCTCACCGTCCCTCGCGACCGTCAAGAAGGACCCAGGATGACAAAAGCTGGTCCAGGGAATGGGTCGAGACCTTCGGGGGTCGACATTATGAACAAATCATGACATCGGGAGTCTGGGGTGGGAGGATCGAGCCGCATCCCCGATGCATCGGCGATACGGCTCGATGTGGAACCCGCTTTTCTCCACGCCGATGGCGCCGATGCGGCGCGCGCGATCCGTCGACCCCATCTACTCCGACCCCGTCTGGGAGGCTTCCCTGAATCAAGGGTGTAAAAACGCCCCTGCCCTGGTTGTCGAGGTGCTGTGCACTGACCCTCCTGTGGGATGACAGGGTAACCCCTGCGGATCGCGCGTGCCTCGCGGCGTCCTGGCGGCTCTCTGGCCTTCGGGAGCTCCCGGGAGGTTTAGGATTTACAGACTGCGCAATCGTAGTCCAGGGTAGAAGCGTTTTTTTCCTTCAAATGAAGGGGGGGGCGTGAAGAAAGGTGCGTCTTCCGTGCACCATCGGGGGTCAGGAGGAGGAGGAGGAGGAGGAGGAGGAGGAGGAGGAGGAGGAGGAGGAGGAGGAGGAGGATGGCTTCGCCTCGCTTTCCGGCGGCCCCGGCGGCGGAAAGTTCCTCCCGCGGCTCGTGCGGCGCGGGCCAGCTCGCGCACCAGCCTTCGCTCCCGCCCGCCGGCCGACGCCCGGGCAGCCGCTATGATGGCTCGTAGATGATTCAAGAGAGCTCCAAGACGGGCCCTGGAGATGCCCAAGGCTGGCCCAAGAATGTCCGATTCGGCCAAAGTCGCTCAAACGTCTTAAGGAATGTCGTGCTTTTGGCTTTCTCGCCTCTTCGCTGACGATCGGCGCGTGAGGCGTCAAGATGGCTCAAAGATGGCCCAAATGAGGCCGAGAGAGCCAAGACTGGCCCAAGAATGCCCGGAGAGGCGAACATCAGTGAAAACACATGGAAAAGTAATATTTTTGGCCTTCTCGCCTTATCGCTTCCGATCGGCTCTTGAGGCTTCAAGATGGCCTCAGGATGGCCCTGGAGAGGCCCAAGACGAGCCCCAGAGAGGCTCAAGGCTGGCCCAAGAGGGCCTGGAGAGTCGAAAATCAGTGCAAATCCATCGGGAAATCAATGTTTTTGGCCTTCTCGCTCTTTCGTTTCCGATCGGCTCTTGAGACTTCAAGATGACCCCAGGATGGCTCCAAATGAGCCCCAAGACGAGGCCCAAAGAGACCGGCTGGCCCAAGAGGGCCCCGAGAGTCGAAAATCATTGGGAATCCATAGGAAAGTCCATGTGTTTGGCCTCCTCGCCTCTTCGCTTCCGATGTGCCCTTGAGGCTTCAAGATGCCCTCGAGAGCCCCAGAGATGCCCAAGCCGAGCCCCACAGAGACCCACGGGTGGCCCAAGAGGGCCCGGAGAGAGTGGAAAGTCAGTGAAAATCCAATGGGAAATCAATGTGTTTGGCCTTCTCGCCTTTTCGCTTTCGATCGGCTCTGGAGGCGTCAAGATGGCCTCAGGGTGGCCCCAGAGAGGCCCAAGACAGACCCCAGAATTCGGAACTCGTTCGGGGGGTGGGTGTGAGGGAGGGTGGGCTCTTTCCGGGGTCCCCGGCCCGATAAAAATAGATATGTACAAATAGGAATACCGGTATCAGTGTTTCGCAGGTTTCCATGTCTGGCGCAATGTCCCTGGGGGGCGTGGGGGAGGAAAAGGAGCGTGAGGAGGAGGAGGAGGAGGAGGAGGAGGAGGAGGAGGAGGGCGGGCGCGCGTTTCCAGAAAACCTTACAGCATTTAGGGTATCAGTGTTTTCACATGGTTTCCTGATCAAAAGAAAGCAGTCCGCGATGCCAGTGCTTTAACATGGTTTCATTTATCAGTTGCCATTGATGGAAAATCACTGTCACAAATCATCTTGCCTGGCGCGTTGCTCCTGAGGGGCGCGGGGGAGGAGCAGGAACAGGGGAGGGCGCCCGTCTCAAGACAGCTTTTCTGGCGCTTCGTCAGTCTGCTTCTTCCCCATCGCGTCGCCCCACCTCCCTTCGGGGAGAGAGGGATGAATGGTGGAAGGATGACGAGGAGGAGGAGGAGGTGGAGGGAAGAAGAGGGTTGGAGTAGCACAGGCTCTTCGAACCCAGAGGAGGAGGAGGAGGAGGACGGAGGAGGAGGAGGAGGAGGAGGGAGGAGGATGAGGAGGAGGAGGAGAGGAGGAGGAGGAGGAGGAGGAGGAGGAGGAGAGGAGGAGGAGGAGGAGGAGGAGAAGGCGGAGTAGGAGGAGCAGGAGCATGCAGGAGCAGGAGCAGGAGGAGGAGGAGGAGAAGGAGGAGGAGGAGAAGGAGGAGGAGAGGGCGGAGGAAGAGGGTTGGAGTAGCCTATCTCTTCGACCCCTCCACTCCCTCTCGCAAGGACTCGAAGGTCGCCTTCATCTCCGAGCCGCTCTGCATCGGCTGCGGCATTTGCATCAAGAAGTGTCCTTTCGAGGCCATTAACATCATCAATTTGCCGCACAACCTCGCGAAGGACCCATGAGCATGTGGGAAAGGATCGGGAGGTGTGAGGCCATCCCGACAAGGGAGACGAATGACTGGGAGCAGAGGGGGGATCAATTGTGGATGCTGCGCGCGTCCCCACAAGCCCATCCAAGCACGATCCCCAGGCGAGTTGCTTGTGTCAGGGAAGCCCAGGGACTTGCAGTGAAACAGCGAGGGGTGCAGCAGGCAAGCCGAAGCCAGGGATCAGTCTGAGCACGTCCAGGAGTCAATCATGAAAGGTCGTCCAGTATGTGTCGATCTGGGAGCCCCTCGAAGTAGCTGTTGGCCCCATCTTGGGGCGCCGGTGGGGCCACTTGGGAGGCCTTTCGCACCGAGCGCGGCCACTCCCGAGGACATCTCCGCCGAGGGAGTCTTACGCGAGTGCCCCGTTTTGAGAAGCAGAAGGCAATCTTCCATCATGTATCCGTAAGGGCTTCGCCCCCTGCCGTCGGCCCCCTCTCGGAGAATGGGCCATGGAAGAGCTAAGTCATGAGGCCTTGGCTCTGTCGTGAAGCAGTATCGAAACTTCATGCGAAGCCGATTTGCAATCAGCAAAACCAACTGATCACAAGAGGGGTTACCACACCTGGCGATTGGTAAGACGTGTATGGTTTACGGGCTTGGTTACCACACCTTGCGATTAAAGGGCCGAGGGAGTTCTCGCAGTTTGGGTTACCACGCCTTGCGATGGATGTGCGTGAAGGGTGGCACCGAATTTCAGAAATGTGGCAAATCCCCTGTGTTTTTGGACCCTGACCCCGCGGATCTGCGTGATCTGCGTGAGGGGTGGCACCGAATTTCAGAAATGTGGCAAATCCCTGTGTTTTTGGACCCTGACCCCGCGGATCTGCGTGAGGGGTGGCACCGAATTTCAGAAATGTGGCAAGTCCCTGTGTTTTTGGACCCTGACCCCGCGGATCTGCGTGAGGGGTGGCACCGAATTTCAGAAATGTGGCAAATCCCATGTGTTTTTGGACCCTGACCCCGCGGATCTGCGTGAGGGGTGGCACCGAATTTCAGAAATGTGGCAAATCCCATGTGTTTTTGGACCCTGACCCCGCGGATCTGCGTGAGGGGTGGCACCGAATTTCAGAAATGTGGCAAATCCCTGTGTTTTTGGACCCTGACCCCGCGGATCTGCGTGAGGGGTGGCACCGAATTTCAGAAATGTGGCAAATCCCCTGTGTTTTTGGACCCTGACCCCGCGGATCTGCGTGAGGGGTGGCACCGAATTTCAGAAATGTGGCAAATCCCCTGTGTTTTTGGACCCTGACCCCGCGGATCTGCGTGAGGGGTGGCACCGAATTTCAGAAATGTGGCAAACCCGTGTGTTTTTGGACCCTGACCCCGCGGATCTGCGTGAGGGGTGGCACCGAATTTCAGAAATGTGGCAAATCCCCTGTGTTTTTGGACCCTGACCCCGCGGATCTGCGTGAGGGGTGGCACCGAATTTCAGAAATGTGGCAAATCCCATGTGTTTTTGGACCCTGACCCCGCGGATCTGCGTGAGGGGTGTCGATTTCGAGCCCCCCCAGCAATTCAGACAACGCGCCCAGCAGACGCTAAAAATCCCGTTTGGGCCTCCCCCCCCCTCGCGCGGTCAATCAACTAGTTACAGTAACCAGCAAGAAGCAGAACTGTAACACTGGAAACTACAAGCTACAACTGGTACAGGAAACTGCGAATCACGTGCCTACAGCCTGGTGGCCCCACAAGGGGACCGGCGGATTTGTTTGGAATTTTTAAGACGAGTGTGAGCGGCGCAGACTCGAGACCAACGTTTTAAACATCTATCCTTTCATCAGCTATTGGAGGCTTTCAAGACGCAAAGGCGCGGCGCTCAGGCGAAAGCGACATTTTGAGAACGACCCTTCCTCCATCTATGTAACCATGTGTGTGGTCAAGCTTCATGACCAGAATTGGTGATTGAAGTCTCAGGCGAAACGCCTGGCCCGCCCAACCAACACGTCGCGTGGCGCGACGAGGAGGAGTTTCCTATAAGGAAGAGGGGCGGATGAGTGTTTACCTGGAAATTTAGAGGGATGAAGGATAATGATGAGCTGGAGGAGAAGGGGATGAGGAGGAGTGGAGTAGAAGGGCTGAACAGAAGTAAGATGACGACGGACAGGAGAAGGAGGAGGAGGATGAGGAGAACAGAGTAAACTCAAGGTGCATCAACAATGCTGCAGTACACCCTCTCGTTCCAAGTCCCCTCCTTTTGAGTCTCTACTAGCTTTGGTTCGCTACAAGAAGCGCCCCCTTGCCCCGTTTGGAAAATGGAACTGCCTTGCATCCTTCTAGCGAGTATGGAGAGTGCGAGGGTAGGATCATATAGTTCAGCGAGGTCTCCAGCGAGATCCCTGTTGGCCAGAAAGGCCGCTCCCACCTGTGTAGCTGCTGCGCAATCTTACACTTATGGCCAGGAGTTTCGAGGCAGTCTCAAGCGGTATCGCCTCTCTGAAATGGAGCCGCCGCTCATCCGTGCAGCTGCTAAGGTGCTCCAGTTTCTGGAGTTCAGGTTCAGACGAGAGCCCCGTTCTGTAACTGAGCCGTCCTCTGTCCCAGCAGTGCCGTGCATGGCGAGACGGCGAGAGCCGCATTTTGAAAAAATCACCCTGGCTCCGTTCATACAACCGTCGCGGAGTTCAAGCTTCAGGATCATACGGTAGGTCCGTGTTGTGTCGACCCGCGGCGACCCCGCCAGCGGCGTTCAACGTTGAACGCCGCGGGCGACCCAGAATCGGTCGATGTGGAACGATTTGGACGTTTCGGAAACGGCCGATCGTTCAAGGTTGAACGATCCCCTCGGCGTCAAATACCAACGCCGAAGTCGGCACGACACGAACCTGCCGTACGTGGTGATGATGTACCAGGCGGAACCATCGTCCCGCTCCAAGGGCACGTCCATCACCACCCACCAAACCACCCCAACCCAACCCGAAGGCTCAGATTTACCCTCGATTTCTAGTGGGGGGGGGTCCGGGAACATCGAAAAAACACATATGGAGCCCATACCCCCCCCAACCCGAAATTCGGGTCTTCGGGTTGGGTTGGGGTGGTCTGGTAGGTAGTCAGTCCAGGGGTGCTGCAGAGAGGGGCTACCCATGAGAAGAACAAGTGAGGAGGAGGAGGAGGAGGACGAGGACGAGGACGAGGACGAGGACGAGGAGAACCAGTTTATACTCAAGGTGCGTCAACGACGTTTCAATCAACCCTCATTTCACGCTCCCTCATCACATGCCCCTACAGAGATGTGCGGTCACTTCTGGAAGTGTTCCGCTGGAAGGCAGCCTCCTGATGATCCCCAATCGCACCCACACATCATTCCCGGGACTTCCACGCCGCGAATCAAGCTGACTGTTTTGCCCTGACGATCCTCAGTCGTGCCAACACACCACTCCTTGGGCTTCAGCGCCGCGGAGCAGGTTGGCCGTATCACCCTGAGAGCCCTGAATGGTGCCGGAATGCCATCCCTGGGACGGCCAAACAGAAGACGCCGCCGACGTGCTTGCAGCTTTCACACTCATGCGTGCCGCGCTGCGGCGAGGGCCACATTCTGAAAAGAAGCCGCCCTCCATCCGTGAAGCTCTTGCAGACTTTGAAAGCGAATGTGCGCGGCGCTACGGCGAGAGCCCAATTGTTGAAAACGTGCCGCCTTCCATTGCGCGAAGATCCTGCAAGCTCTGAAGCCCGAAGCCCTTGCAGACCGTGAGGGCGAATGTGCGCGGCGCTGAGGCGAGAGCCCCATCTTGAAACCGTGCCGCCTTCCATTGCGCGAAGATCCTGCAAGCTCTGAAGCCCGAAGCCCTTGCAAGCCGTGAGGGCGAGTGTGCGCGGCGCTGAGGGAGGAGGGAGGAGGGAGGAGGGAGGAGGGAGGAGGGAGGGAGGAGGGAGGAGGGAGGAGGGAGGGAGGAGGGAGGAGGGAGCAGGGAGGGAGGGAGGGGGAGGAGGGAGGAGGGAGGAGGGGAGGAGGGAGGAGGCGAGAGCCACGTGTTGAGAAAGCCACCTCGCCCTCCGCCCGTGCAGCCCCTGCAACCTTTGAGAGGCGGCTGCCCGCCGGCGCCGCGGCGGCGAGAGCCGCACTTTGGAAAAGCCTCCTCCTCCTCCTCCTCCTCCTCTTCCTCCTCCTCCTCTCTCCTATCCTTCCTCCTCCTCTTCCTCCTCTCTCTTCCTCCTCCTCCTCCTCCTCCTCCTCCTCCTCCTCCTCCTCCACCCACCCCCCCACCCCCCCACCCACCCACCCACCCGCCCGCCGTGCGCGAAGCTGCTGCGAACTCTGAGCTTCCTTGCCGCGGGCCGTCAGGAGAGCCCAGGCGACGTGCCCGGCCCGCCCCTGCCGACACGTTGCGGGGTGCGACGGAGGAGGAGCCGTGAACAAGGACAGGGGGACGGAGGAGGCGGGGTGGGGGGCGGAAGGCGGGAGGAGGGAGGAGGAGGGAGGAGGGAGGAGGGAGGAGGGAGGAGGGAGGGAGGAGGAGGAGGACGAGGACGAGAGGGACGAGGACGAGGAGGAGGGGGAGGAGGGAGGAGGGAGGAGGGAGGAGGGAGGAGGGAGGACGAGGACGAGGACGAGGGGCAGGAGGGGCAGAGCGATGCCCCGGAGTTCGGGGAGCCAGGGCGGGCCCGCGCCTCCTCCGCGGCGCCGCCTCCGGCCGAGGACACCACCCACAGATACGGCGCGAACACCTTCAAGCTGCACCGGCTGCCCACACCCCGTCCAGGCGGAGAGGGGCAACGTTCCCAGACCTCCTCGCGCTGTGACAAAAATCACGACGGGCGGTTTTTCCATATTTTCGGCCTCCGGGGGCCCTTCCCGGACCTCGGGGCCGTCAAAAAACGACCCAGGACGAAAAACCGTTCCCGGGGAAGGGGTCCAGCCCTCTGGGGGTCGACGTTGCGAAAAAATCACGACGTCGGGGGTCTGGGTTGAGGGGGGGATGGGCATTGGTCGGTTATAGCCAGGACCCCAGGTAAGGAAACCCGGCCAGTGGCAGGGCCCAAGAGTCCCTGAACTGGCCAGAATCACTAAATCAGGTCTGCCGTAGCTGGTGTGTTCTTTCGGGTGACGGCAGCTTCGGTCAGTGAACTGGGGCGGGGGGGCGTCCCCCGGTACACATCACTAAACCAGGTCCCATCAAATCCAGTTTTGCCAACGCCCGAATTGGGGGGGATGCATCAGGGCACGCGTTTATGCACAGGGCTGGACCTGAACGGTGTTTTGGCGGATTTCGCGGGCTCTCTTCGTTGCGGCCTCGTTCTGCGGTACAGGCGGACTGAAGACAAAACGAGGGAGAACGAAAGCAGAACGAAGACGAAACACACCGTTTGGGTTCCGCCCTGGCTGTGCACGAGCGGGGGACGGGCATCGGGGGCGGCATGCCCAGGGCGGGGGATATGGGCACAGTCATGGCTCGCGGGCCCAGGGGGGCACCGGTCGCGCATGGGGGTCTGATGTCAGGAGGAGGAAAATCACACAGACACAACGAATCGTGGATTCCCCAGAAGATCATTATGGGAAATCTGTGGGAAGCGGGGGGGAAGGCAAGAAATCAGAAGATACGGGAAAGTATGGGGAATCCTCTTCCCAGACCCCCGACGTAATGAATTTGTCATTACGTCGACCCCAGAGTTCTCGACCCCTTCCCCAGGACCGGTTTGTCATCCTGAGCCGTTTATTGACGCTCCCGAGGCCCGGCGAGGGCCCCCAGAGGCCGAAAATGGCGCAAAACCTCCCGTCATGATTTTTTCATTGCTCGAGGGGGTCTGGGTTATTTGTGTGTACTTATTAAACCCCAACATACTTATACTATATGTGCGTCGCCCCCCCAGGGGCGACGCGCGCACCGAGAAATCTTATAGTATATGCGTCGTGGCGGGCGCTCTCTGGCCACGCCGCTCGGGAAATGATATACTACAAGATGGGTATAATATATGTTCGGGTCGGACGCGCGCCTCCAAGGAGGACATGCAGTATTAGTATGTCCCTTTGCGTCCCATTATTTGTGTGTCCTTGGGCCCCTTGACGATGGCCCCGCCCAGCCCGCCCGGGGGCAGGGCCCCCCTCGGACGAGCGGGCCGCGCAGCAGGGCGCTCCGGCGGCGCGGAGCGGTCGCCGCGCCTCCGGGCCGGCCCCGTGGCCGCGGCGGCTCCGGCTGCCGAGTTCGCGGGGCGAGGGCCTTTCCCTCCTCCTCCTCCTCCTCCTCCTCCTCCTCCTCCTCCTCCTCCTCCTGCTCCTGCTGCTCCTCCTCCTGCTCCTCCTCCTGCTCCTCCTCCTCCTCCTCCTGCTCCTCCTCCTCCTCCTCCTGCTCCTGCTCCTGCTCCTCCTCCTCCTCCTCTGCTCCTCTCCTGCTCCTGCTCCTCCTCCTCCTGCTCCCCCCTCCTCCTGAACGCCTCCTCCTCCTCCTCCTCCTCCTCCTCCTCCTCCTCCTCGGGGCGAGGGCCGAAGGAGGCGCGGAAGCGCAGAAACGCAGGGGAGGAGGAGGGGAGGAGGAGGAGGAGAGGAGGAGGAGGAGGAGGAGGAGGAGAGGAGGAGGAGGAGGGGAGGAGGAGGAGGGAGGAGGAGGAGGAGGAGGAGGAGGAGGAGGAGGAGGAGGAGGAGGAGGAAGAGGAGGAGGAGCAGAGGAGCGCTGGGGATGCGCGGGGAAGCAGAGGCAAGGAGAGGCAGCAGGCAGAGGCAGGGGGGGGCATCAGGGGCAACGGGTAGGGGAGGAGCGGGCCCGAGGTTGCGGTCGGGAACTCTTGGTCACCCCAACACACGCGTACTATATGTGCGTCACCCCCCCAGGCGGCGACGCGCGCACCGAGAAATCTTATAGTATATGTCTCGCGGCGGGCGCGTTCTGGCCACACCGCTCGGGAAAGGATATACTACAAGATGGGTAGACTATATGTTCGGGTCGGACGCGCTCCTCCAAGGAGAACATATAGTACTAGTGTGTCTCTGTGCGTTCCATGTCGCTCCGCCGGCTCTGGACCACCGCACCTCTGCGGCGCGGCACGCCATCACATCCCGATGTCCCCGGCGCCCTCGCCCCGAGCTGTCCCGCCCGGCGGAGCGGAGCGGCACGCCGTCCCATCGCAAGGCCCAGTATGAAGGGGCCCTGGGACACACAAATCAATACACACACAAATACCCAGGTTCCCCATATTCTCGCATATGTTCCTGGGTTTTGTCCTCCCCCCCCCACTTCCATATTTTCCCACATCTTCCTGGGAGAGGACGCTTAATCGTGTCTGTGTGCTTTTTTCCCTCCTGACAGTGTGTCGCTGGGCCACCTGCGGCGACACGCGCAGCCAGAGCTTCCGACCTCTTGGGCTCGAGATCGGGGAGCGCTCCGGGGCAGCCTCCCGGGGATCCGAGGCTCGAGGCCTTCCGGCGTCTCTCTCTGCTCTGCTTGTCGGTGGCCTTGCAGCCCCGGGGCGCCTTCCAGCAGCGGCGCCTCGCTGGGAGCGCTCCGTGGGTGCCCAGAGCCTCGCAAAATGGCTGCCGGCGAGCCGCGCTGAGACCCGGAAGCCCCAGGGGCGCCCACTCATCGCCGACGGGGGACCGCTAAGTAGCCCGCCCCGCCAGCCCCGCCCATGGATGCGGATTCGCCGTCTGGGGCCTGCCGCCGGTCTACCGGCGACGTGTCGCCGACTCCAGGTCGATGTCCCCCCCTTGTGCGCCGACTCCTCCCTGATCGTTCGGGCGGTATATCTCAGGAGGGAGGAAAGCACACAGACACCATTAATCGCCGATTCCTCAGAAAATATGGGAAAAACTATGGGAAGTGGGGGGGGAAGACAAAAAGCTTGAAAATATAAGAAAATATGGGGAATCCTGTTATTTGTGTCTATTTATTCGTGTGTCCCAGGGCCCCTTCAATATCGATGGTGCGGAGAGGAGGGTTTGCCCAAGGAGGGGGTCAGGGTGCGGACCCAGCTGACAGCTCTGGCCCCCTTCTCCCAGGGGCCGTATAGGGAGACGTTCCTGGAATCCCACGGGCCGTATAGGGAGACGTTCCTGGAATCCCACCTCCCGAGGGAAGCGGGGGGGAGGAGGACGAGAGCGGGCGGGGATATCGTGGCCCTCGCCTCCTCACTCGGCACGTTCCCCTGCCCCCCCCCCGCCCACGGGGGCGCCCTCGCCTTCCTCTTTCGGCATGCTCCCTTTCGGCACGCTCCCTTGCAGCCCCCGAGGAGGAGGAGGAGGGGGAGGAGGAGGAGGAGGAGGAGGAGGAGGAGGAGGAGGAGGAGGAGGAGGAGGAGGAGGAGGAGGAGGAGGAGGAGGAGGAGGAGCTTCTCTCGGCACGCTCCCTTCCAGCGCGTTTCCCCCTCGCCACTCGCAGCGCGTGCCCCCTGTTCCCGCTGCGCGCCCGAGCAGGCGAGGCCCTGCGCGGAGGGGGCGGGGGCTCCGGGGTCCAGGAGGGGAGGAGGGCCCCAGAGCCTTCCCCCGGGGGCCCCCACGTTCTCCGAGGACGTCTCGGGCGACAGGAGCCTCTGGGGTCCCAAATCCGTGCGGCGACGGACCGTGCGGTGAGGTCTCTTGGGGTACCGATGTCATCGCACGGTCTGTCACCGCACCGTTTCGGGACTCCAAATTCCCCGCCGCCCCCTCGGGGCCCTCTCCTGGCCTTAAGTCTGGCCTGCCCTCCTACAGGGGGATTTTGGACGACAAATAAAAGGTAGTCAAATAACTACCTCCGGCCAACAAATATTCAACAAATAGTCCCCAGACTATCTTTTGACTATTTTTGAACATTCCCCCTGTAGGGGGACAGGCCCGTCTTACCCTGGCTCCCCCGGGGGCCGCCAGGACGGCCCCAGAGGAGCGACGGAAGAAGCCAGGCTCGAGTGCGCCGACACGGGCGCGTGAGCTCCCCGCGGGAGGCCGCGCCCTCGTCCAGAGCGTAGCGTGCCTGCGGGCGGCCCGCGTGAGCCACCGCGGGGGGTCGCCGTGGCATCTCGCGGGAGGTTCTTGTGGTCTTCGTCGCTCGGATGGGCCTGGTCCGTGGCATTCTTCTGTCTTCGTCGCTCAGATGGGGCCTGGCCCGTGGTATTCTTCGACGGGGCCGAGACTCGAATTTCGGAGGCCGACGACGACGACGACGACGACGACGACGACGACGACGACGACGACGACGACGACGACGACGACGACGACGACGACGACGACGACGACGAGGTCGCCTTGCTCCCAGACCGTCAAACAACGCTTCCAGATGAGAATCCAGTCCTTGGGAAGGGGTTCAGGTCTCTGGGGTCCGCGTCCTGAGAAACCACGACGTCGGAGAGCACTGGGAGTGTGGCGCCAGAGGTACTGTGGTAGACAGTACGAACCCCTGGGCAAGCCTGGTGGGGGGCAGCCTGCTCGGGGTGAAACACCTGCCCTGGGGGAAGGCCCATGGGTTTCCGGGCCCGTCTCCACCCGGGCCCGTGTTCCTGGCAGCTGCGCTGGCCGCGCGGCGCGCGCCCGAAGGGAGCGGGCCCGCTCGGGAGGCTCGCTGGAGGCTCTGGGGAGGGGCGCGGGAGGCACACCCCCCCAGGGCACCTGCAGTGCGAGAGGTGAGCACAGGCAAGCCGCCTCTAAGCGCGCCTCGTCAGGGAACCGCGTGGGAAACGTGAGGTGCGGCCTGAGTTCGCGGGCACGCTCGGAGTGGGCATCGCGGTAAACGTCCTGGCAGCAGCGCTGGCCCCGCGAGGTGCGCTTGAGGCGAGCGGGCACGACTGGAGTGGGCTTCCT